TNNNTTTTTTTAATTGTCCATTTTAAAATAATTTAGATGTTCATTTTTATTGCATTGAAAAATACATAAAGTTTCTATAAACTAGATTATTTGTATAATTAGTACAAAACATTTTATTTTCATAAAATTAGTCGATTTAATTAAAACTATAGCACATATCTTAGATTTACCAATCATGTTTTTATTTTAAAATAGTTACAGCTACAACTTATATTTGTACAGCAAAAAAGTCTGCAGTGAAAAAATCTACAGCAAAAAAAATATACAGCTACAGCCAAAACACTTACAGCAAAAATTCTACAACAATTAATCTACAACTACAGCCGAACCAATCACCCACTTAATCTATCTTATTTTTGTGTATCAGAAATATAGACTACTACCAAATGGTTCTCGAATTAGGCCCAAAACGTAATATACTACCTCTCGAGTTCTAAAAACAATGGTTTTAAACTAAAAGATGTAGTTTAGACCTAGAAACTTCAAACCGAGTAACTAATCGTCATAATCGTATATATATTTTTTTTTTGGTACATAGATTTGTGTACTAGTACAGAATCTACACTAAGCGTTTCTAATGAATCTGATAAACTAAGTGCGAAAACGCTGCGTTTTAACTCTTTCTGTTGATTTTCTATCGAAGAGAACAATTGTGGTTCATGATTTTGTGGGCCAGAGAGTTTATCACAGGGCCTCATTATTCTAACGTCTCTAGGAGAATCTCGTAAAACTCAATGGCACCTTCCTTATCACCAATTAGATCTCACCACGTGGCAGTTATCGGAGCTGGAGCTGCCGGACTAGTGGCGGCGAGAGAGCTTCGACGGGAAGGTCACTCGGTGGTCGTCTTCGAGAGGCAGAAACAGGTTGGAGGAACTTGGATCTATACCGATCATGTCGAGCCGGATCCGTTAAGCGTCGACCCGACCCGACCCGTTGTTCACTCGAGCGTCTATGGCTCTCTTCGAACTAACCTTCCTCGAGAGTGTATGGGATACAAAGACTTCCCGTTCGTGGTTCGATCCGGTGTCTCAGAATCGAGAGACCCGAGGAGGTTTCCGAGTCATGGTGAAGTTTTGGCGTATTTGGAAGATTTCGCTAAGGAGTTTGGGATCGAGGAGATGATACGGTTCGAGACGACGGTTGTGCGTGTTGCTCCGGCGGAGAAAAGCGACGGCGAAGGAAGAATCAGGAAATGGAGGATTGAATCAACAGAGAAAGAGAAGAAAGTTGGTGGTGATGAGATTTACGATGCTGTTGTTGTTTGCAATGGACATTACATTGAACCTCGTCTCGCTGAGATTCCTGGTAATTTCCATTGATTCATTATAACTTACAATTTAGTGAGAAGTGTTATTGTAATTCTCGTCTTACAATATATCATAATATGTGATTTGAACATCATAAGATTAAGCATTTCAGGGATAAGTTCTTGGCCAGGGAAAGAGATGCATAGCCACAATTACCGTATTCCCGAGCCCTTTAAAGATCAGGTACCTATTTCAAAGATCACAATGTCTGATTGTTTTCTGCGATCTTATGTGAAAGATCATGTGAAACTTGTGTTGCATTGGTTTAGGTTGTTGTGCTGATCGGAAACTCTGCAAGTGCTGATGATATAAGTAGGGATATTGCTAGAGTTGCCAAAGAGGTTCATGTGGCTTGTAGGTCGAATGCAGCGGATACTTGTATCAAACATTCCGGTTACAGTAACCTGTGGATGCATTCAATGGTGGGTTAGCTTCTGAGTGGTACTTGTAGTAATTCGTTGATCAGAATAAATAATGGTCAGTGTTTTCTTGACCTCTTACACAGATTGAGTGTGTCCACGAGGATGGTTCTGTGGTTTTTCAGAACGGGAAAACAATTTTTGTTGATGTAATTATGCATTGCACTGGGTATTATTCATTCATTCTTTCGCTTTGAATTTTCTGGTTTTTCTTTTCAAGAGGTGGTAAACTTAAACAGCTCTTTCCTTTTCAAAGGTACAAGTATCACTTCCCGTTTCTTGAAACCAACGGAAATGTTACCGTAGATGATAACCGTGTTGGCCCATTATACAAAGACGTCTTCCCTCCAGCATTTGCACCCTGGCTCTCATTCATCGGGATACCATGGAAGGTACACAGCTTGTATAGCCCCTTAAACAAATTTCACATTCTTTATAAACTTTGATCATTTGTTACATTCCAACAATCCATAACAATTTCAGGTTGTACCGTTTCCTTTGTTTGAGCTGCAAAGCAAGTGGATCGCGGGTGTTTTGTCGGGTCGGATTATGCTTCCATCTAAGGAAGATATGATGAAGGATATCAATTCCTTCTATGCAACACTTGAAGCTCAAGGAATTCCAAAGCGATATACTCATCAAATGGGTATTACTCAAGTACGAAGCTCTTTAACTTATGTTTCTGCACATAAACCAAATTTTAACCGAAACCGAACAGAAACAAATTTACGTTTTTTCTTTAACTTATGTTTCACAGTTTGAGTACAACAATTGGTTGGCTTCGCAATGCGGGTGCTTAGGAACAGAGGAATGGAGGAAAGAGATGTATTTGACGACTGGCGTGAGGAAGAGAGCGTATCCGGAGACGTATAGAGACGAATGGGAAGATCATCACTTGGTTTCTCAAGCTTATCAAGATTTCTCTTTATATACACATTAACAAAAGTTCCGATAAAGTAAATTATCTTGTCTCTTCTTCTTTTCTTAATAATTGTCAATTCTTGTCATAAAATAGTAAAATAACTGTTGTGTAAGTTTTAGTTAAAAGAATCGTATAGCTGTGGGAATAAAGCAATAATAATACATCTTTAGATGGACCCATCCATAAAGCAATTATGCATCTTTGTAAAGGGAACATGATTCCTCTTCTCTCCTAACAATTATTTTTCCTCTGAGAAATATCTTTATCTGTGTCTCTGTAACGATGGGTGGTTGCTGCTCTGTCTCGTTGTCGTGTGATCAAGTTTTGAATCAAGCCACTCAATGGTTGTGTCAAAGAGAGTTATATTCACAACCTCGAGGAGAATCTCACAGCTTTGGAGACAGCCATGGAAGAGTTGAAGGGAAAGCGAGATGATTTGTCAAGAAAGGTGGAGAGAGAGGAAATGAAAGGTCTAAGAAGGCTTGCCCAAGTCCAGGCATGGCTTACTAGAGTTGAGACCATTGAAAGCCAAGTCAATGATTTGTTTAATGTTAAAACAATTGAGCTTCAAAGGTTATGTTTCTGTGGGTTTTGTTCCAAGAGTTTAAAATTGAGTTATCGTTATGGGAAGCGGGTTTTCATGATGTTAAAGGAGGTTGAGAGTCTCAAATCTAATGGAATTTTTGAAGTTGTTGCTGAGCAACCTCAAGCCTCTGAGGTGGTAGAGAGACCTATTCAACCGACAATCGTTGGTCGGGAAACAATTCTTGAAACAGCATGGAACCGTCTCATGGAAGATGGAGTGGGTATTATTGGTCTGTATGGTATGGGTGGAGTAGGAAAAACTACACTTCTCACGCAGATCAACAATAACTTTCTCAAAAAAGAGGATGCTTTTGATATTGTGATTTGGGTTGTGGTATCTAAGGATTTACAGATCCAGAAGATTCAAGATGATATTGCAAAGAAACTAGGCCTGGCTGGAGAGGATTGGAACCAGAAAGATGAAGACCAAAAGGCGTGTGACATACTTAATGTTGTAAAGAGGAAGAAGTTTGTGTTGTTGTTGGATGACATATGGGCGAAAGTCGACCTATCTAAGATCGGAGTTCCTTTCCCAAGTAATGAAAACAAATGCAAAGTAGTTTTCACTACTCGTTCTCGAGAAGTGTGTGGGTGCATGGGAGTTGATGTTGAGATGGAAGTCAAGTGCTTGCCACCTCAAGATGCATTGGATTTGTTCCGAAAGAAAGTTGGAGAGATCACATTAAGAAGTCATCCAAACATACCAGAGCTTGCAATCGTAGTTGCTAAAAAGTGTCATGGTCTACCATTAGCACTTAATGTCATTGGCGAAGCCATGGCATGCAAGCGAACGATTCAAGAATGGCAGTACGCAATTGATGTTTTAACTTCATATGCTGCTGAGTTTTCCGGGATGGAGGATGCAATTCTTCCGATTTTGAAGTATAGTTACGATAATCTAAAGGGTGATCATGTCAAATCGTGTTTGCTATATTGCGTATTATTTCCAGAAGATTATAGAATTCCTAAAGAAAGGTTGATAGAGTACTTGATAGGCGAAGGGATTATAGAATGGGCTGAGAACAAGGGTTATGAGATAATTGGCAGTCTTGTTCGTGCATCATTGTTGATGGAGGGGGTTAAGGAATCGGGTAGAACAGAGTATGTGTGTATGCATGATGTTGTGAAAAGGATGTCATTGATGAATAACAAGATTCACAATCTGGCTGGTAGTCCTGAATGTCTCGAACTCACAACTTTGCTCATGAAAAACAACTCTCTGAAAAGAATCTCGAGTGAATTCTTCAAGTCCATGCGAAAGCTAGTTGTTTTGGATCTATCACGAAATCTAAATCTCTGTGAATTGCCTGACGGAGTATCAGAGCTAGTTTCTTTGCGGTATCTCGACTTGTCAACTACTGGTATACATCATTTGTCTAAGGGTCTACAAAAGTTGAAAAAATTAGTTCACTTGGATTTAGATTTCACACGACTCCTTTGGAGTATTGCTGGGATATCAAGTCTTCATAGTTTGAAAGTCTTGAAATTAACTCAATCTAGTTTTGCATGGGATCTCGACATAGTGGAGGAGTTGGAAAGCTTGGAACATTTAGAAATTTTCACCATAGGCGTCATGCGTTATCCTCTTCGCTTGGAGAAATTTTTGAGCTCTCATAGATTGACGACTTGTACACAATTTCTAAGGATCATGCATATGAAATCATCTGGAATATTGTCACTTCCGGTAACTATGGACAAGCTTCGTGATCTCCGCATTGATAGCTGCACTTTCACTGAGATAAAGATGGGAAGGATGTGCATCAAAAGTAAGACGATTTCTCCTCTACAAAATCTGAGAAGGCCATGCTTCTCCAGCCTCTCCACAGTAGATATAAATCATTGTAAAGGCCTCGAAGATATAATAAACAAAGAGAAAGCTTATGAAAGTGAAGAATCAGGGATTGTTCCTTTTCCAAAGCTGATGTATCTTAGCTTGTCTGATCTACCAAAGCTGATGACTCTTTTTTTTGTTTTCGGCATATGGACTAATTTCATTTTAATGCCTTGGCTTTTTATGTATGTGATTGTAGCCACAACCACATGATCTAATGGGCTTCTCAGGCAACAAGTTTGAAGTGGATGATGCCATTACGGATTATTAAAAAGGGAAAGTCTTTCTCTATCTATCCTTAATGTTTTTTTTATGTGTTCTCTATCTCTCTCTGTGTCGCTTTCTGTGAACTCGTTTTCGTAATTGGATCAACATTGATCTCTACTATGGTTACGTTTTGAATTGATTGGAATGTTTTGATAACTTCCCTTATGTGTGCACAAATCAGCCTAAAGGAATTTGGTGCGGCTTATTATACTTTCGGGATTAAACAATATTCCTTTCATAAACTATTTTTCTTCGATTTTCGCTCCTACTTCGGAAATTCTTCGACATCTCTTCTCCGGCATGAGCACCCCATTTTTGGTTCGGTTCGGAAATTTTGTGTTTTGGATTTTCCGGTTTAGAAAAAATAAGTCTGAGAATTAAAAATGGAAATTCGTTATGCTTCTCCTCATAATCTTGGGTCCGATTTGAAAAAGGCTTTCAACAACACATGTAGGAGAAAATCGCTATATACACAAAGGGTAGGCCAAAAGTTAAAGAAGACAGTTTTGTTCTTGTTCCTCATCTCTCTCTCCGGTAAGGTTTTTCTCTTGGACCGAAACTTGATTAACCCTAGATATCTCCTTACCTAGATTTTGTCGTGTTCTAATAGTTACTTCGATTTTATTTGAATCGCCCTGAACATAGAAACCCTAGCTAGTTTTATTCCTAATCGAATTGTAAATATCATCTCTGTCTTTGGCCTTGAATCACTAAAAAATGTTATCTTGTGACAAATTTCGCTCCTTGTTCTGTAGTGTGCAGCACAAGTTTCATGGCTACTTGTGTTTAAGAATATGGTAATTGTTGCGAAATCATGGCTTATAGTCTGTTACTTTGATCTGCACTTTATCTCATGCTGATAGATTATGTAACTCTTGACATGGTCTCATATCTAATTTGGAATAAAGTGCAGGTTTTGCTGGAACTTCCGAGGGATCCAAAAGATAGAGTCAAAGACCGACCGATTTCTGTATTTGAATCTTGTTTGGCTAAGTTTCAACGTGAACGAGCTCGTAAACAAGCTCTTGCGCGTAACACTGCTCGTGCACGCAACGCTGCTAGTGCAAATGGTGATCTTAACCATGATGATGAGATAGGAGGCAGCTAGTACATCCTCAGATCGACAGGTTGGTATGAAGTCGAAACGTAAAGTGCCAGATGAAAAAGAAGATTATGACTGGGATGAAGTCAGTTTGAGTTTACTTCATTCCCAATTCGCGTACTAGTGTAATGATATGAAACAGTTACCAGGAAGCTTTTGTTTAGTTTCTTCAAAGATAAAACCGAAATAGAGCGTTTGCATTTGCTCCGAATACAGAAAAGGAATAGTTTTATGTATGAAAGATATTGCAAGAAGATACTTGTTTAGGACATGCCTATAGTTTAACTAATCATTAGTGAGGGTCATAATGATAAAAGATAGTTTAAGTCTCAATGATTATAAGGATTATGGAAAAGTGTTCTACCAGACCATAACTCGAAAACTGTAACTTATTGGAAGGCCATTGTTCATAGACCTTTCCAAGAGTTCTGAGACAAAATGTAGAAAGCACAACTGCGTGGCCAGTAAGCAGAACCATTGTCATTAGGAAATTTTTTTATCGTACGAAAGAATAAAAAAGTCAAATCCACACGTAGATAGAAAAATACTAGAAATGTTGTTTCGTAAATATGATTCTCCAAGACTTTCTTCTAAATCCTCCACAAAATATGATCAAAGTTTATGAATTCTCTGTTTTTTTTTTTTAGAGTTTGAAGCATCAAAGGAAATGGAAGAGTGATCCTAATTACACAAAGGGATTTTTTTTCATGTGTTTCTTTGACGAGGGTTTTAGAACATTGCACCTAATGAGAAAGTTGAGAGTTTTAATCAAGAATTGGAAGTCTCTCTCACTATAATTATGGAAATCAAAAATCAAAATTTTCCACAATCCCAAAATATCTCATGTCTGTGGTGGGCTCACTCGATTGAGAATTTATCTTATTTCTTGTGGACTAAATCGAAAGTCTTTCTTCAATTATTCTCTGAGTCCTCTCTGTTTTGCTTAACACAGAAACTTTCAGATCTCTATATTTCTGTAAAATGGGCAACCCTTTCTCGATACCATGTGATCCTTGTGTAAACAAAGTCTTTCACTGGCTAGACGAGAAAGTAGCTCGTACTCACAATCTCGAGAAGAATCTTGTGGCTCTGGAGACAACCATTGAAGAGCTCAAGGCCAAGCGAGATGATTTATTAAGAAGGGTTACAAGAGAAGAGGATAGAGGTCAACGAAGGCTTGCCCGAGTCCAGGTATGGCTTACAAAAGTTGAGAAAATCGAAAATGAAGTCAATGGTCTTTTTGCTGATAGAGATGTCCAACTTCAAAAGTTGTGTCTTTGTGGCTTTTGCTGCAAGAATCCAATATCGAGCTATCGTTATGGGAAAACTGTTTTCTTGACCTTGAGAAAGGTTGAGGAACTCAAAAGTGAAGTTTTTGATGAGATTGCTGACGAAGCTCAACTATCTGAGGTGCAAGAAAGACAAGTTCAACGGACAATTGTCGGCCAAGAAACAATGCTCGATAAGGCATGGAGTCATCTCAAGGAAGATGGAGTTGGTCTTATGGGCCTGTTTGGTATGGGCGGAGTTGGAAAAACAACGCTTCTCTCACAACTCAACAATAAATTCAGGGAGGAAAGGTGTGGGTTTGAATTTGTGATTTGGGTTGTGGCGTCTAAAGAGTTACGTATAGAGAATATTCAAGATGAAATCGCGCGGCAAGTTCGTAGAGAGGAGTGGAAACAAAATGAGAAGAGCCAAAAGACCGAGGCTATAAACAATTTCTTAAACAAAAAGAAATTCGTCTTGTTTTTAGATGACATATGGAAGAAAGTGGATTTAACTGAGATCGGAGTTCCGTTTCCAACGGAACAAAATGGATGTAAAGTGGTATTCACCACTCGTGATGAGGCTGTTTGTAGACACATGGGAGTGGAAGATCCAATAGAAGTTCAATGCTTAGGGGAAAATGAAGCATTTGAATTGTTCCAAAAGAAGGTTGGAAAAAGAACTCTAGGAAGCGATCCAGAGATCCCCAACCTTGCAAGAACAGTTGCTAAAAAATGTTGCGGCCTGCCATTGGCGCTTAATGTTATAGGCGAGACCATGTCATGCAAGGAGACGGTACAAGAATGGCGTCACGCGATTGAGATGTTGACTTCAAATGCTGCAGAGTTTTCAGGAATGGAAGATAAGATCCTTCCGATTTTGAAGTATAGCTACGATAATATTAAGGAAGAGCATGTCAAATCGTGTTTGCTATATTGCGCTTTATTTCCAGAAGATGATAGAATTCCTAAAGATAGGTTGATAGACTACTGGATAGGGGAAGGGATTATTGATGGAAGTAGAGGCATAGAAAGAGCTGAGAACAAGGGCTATGAAATAATTGAAAGTCTTGTTCGTGCATCGCTATTGATGCAGGGATCGGGTAGAATAGAGTTTGTGTGTATGCATGATGTTGTTCGTGAAATGGCCTTATGGATTGCATCTGAGTTAGGAAAACAAAAAGAGGCTTTCATTGTTGGGTTAGATAAAATGACAAATGTTAAGAATTGGAACGTTGTGAGAAGGATGTCATTGATGAAGAACAAGATTGACCATCTCGCTGGGAAGCTTGATTGTCTTGAACTCACTACTTTGCTCGTGCAAAACAACTATTTGGCAAATATCTCGAGTGAATTCTTCAAGTCCATGCCAAAGCTAGTTGTTTTGGATCTATCTGAGAATGAAAATCTTTGTGCATTGCCTGAGGAAATATCAGAATTAGGTTCCTTGCAATATCTCAACTTGTCATTTACTGCTATAAGTCATTTGCCTCTGGGTCTACAAGAGTTGAAAGAACTAATTCACTTGGATTTGGAGAGCACATGTAAACTTAAGAGTCTTGCTGGGATATCAAGTCTGCATAGTTTGAGAGTCTTGAAATTATCCTTTTCCAAGTTTAGATGTGATCACGACACAGTGGAGGAGTTGGAAACCTTGGCACATTTACAAGTTTTAACCATAGAAATCGGTGGTCCTTTTGCTCTGGAGAAATTTTTGAGGTCTCATAGATTGACGAGTTGTACACGATCTCTAAGGATATGGACTATCAATACGGAATCATCTGGAATAGTCCTTCCAGAAACTATGGATAAGTTCTGTCGTCTCGTCATTGTGAATTCAAATATCTCTGAGATAAAGATGGTTTCTCCTCTACAGAATCTGAAAAACCTCTCCACTATGAGTATTTGGGATTGTAAAGGCCTCAAGGAATTGACGTTGCTGATGTTCGCTGTGAATCTTAAACATCTTACTGTCAGAAAGGCAGACCAACTAGAAGATATAATAAACAAAGAGAAAGCTTGTGAAAGTGAAGAATCAGGGATTGTTCCTTTTCCAAAGCTGATGTATCTTAGATTGTCTGGTCTACCGAAGCTGAAGAATATCTATTGGAGACCTCTACCCCTTCCATGTCTAAAGAAGATCGATGTAGACACATGTCCAAATCTGAAAAAGCTTCCACTCGATTCCAAATCTGAAAATGGACTCCGCATAAGATACAGAGAGAAAGAATGGATTGAAGGT